ACATGAATAAATAGGTTTCTCTCTGCTCTCAATTTGACAGAGATTATGGTTTATAATCTTTGTTAATTTGATAATGTATTAAAAGGTATAATATTTCCAAGAAAAAATCTTAACTATTGCCGTTGATGAAGATGGACTTCCAAGAGGCAAGAATAAGCTGCTATGTATATAAAAACCAATTCAAGGGATGAATCTTGAAGTTTACACCAGCCACATCCTGAGCAGCTCAATGGAATTGGGCAATGTTTATTTGATAAGCTGCTGTGTTTCGTAGGAAAACTCCAGTCCAAGTCGCACCCTGGACCTCGCTTCTGCTCTTGAAACTAAGACAACAGGAAATAAAAGCTTGAATGGTGATGCTGTTATCAGTGGTGCTACCAGATCTGTAATGACAATTGCATTTCAATTTGCATTTGAAAGCCACATGCAAGAAAATGTTACAACAATGGCCCGACAATATGTACGTAGCATCATATCATCAGTTCAGCGGGTGGCATTAGCACTTTCTCCATCTCATCTAGGCACCCACGGTGGTCTTGGATCACCACTTGGAACTCCTGAAGCAAATATTCTTGCTCGTTGGATCTGCCAAAGTTACAGGTAATTTAAAGAGACTATATACACATAAATGTATAATTGTACTTCAACATTATAGATCTGTCTATCTTCATTTTACAACGGTTCTGATTTAATAACATTTTTGTTCTTAACTTATTTCAATAGAGCTTTGGATAGTTCTATTTACTAAAACTCATTCAATTTGAAGAAACAATCTTCATTTTGTTTCTCTTCAATCATTATATCCTTGTTTTCTGTTCATATTTTTTGAAGGTAATTATGGGATTGTTCTTTAATTGAAATCCCACTATTATTTCAAGCTACTTGGATACATTGTCAAAGAGCTTACTGTCGTTATGGTGTAATTTGCTCTTATTGACATTTTAGCAAAGAAAAAAATCAATATTTATTTTCAACCTAATATAACTTGGATTAACTATAATATAAATCTCACACACTTTTCTTATGATTAAAGTTTTACTAAGCATGATGAGGAATTTAGATTAGTGTTATACTATACTTGCAGAGAGAATGCAGTCAAGGAGAGAGTCCCAAGATTAGTTTAATTTCATTAGCAACGTTAAGAAACTGAAGGGACAAGTTTAGGTGAATTCAATATGCTATAATTTGCTTAAAAATTTATAGAATGTCAAAGATGATGGTACCAAAGTCATCACGAAAACGAAAGAAACTCCTCGAAGAAGACATCTGTAGAGGCTATTACCATTTGCATATATAAGTTTAGATACGGAATGAATAAAAAAAAAATCATTAATATCTCTAATATCTTTCTGTTTAAATTCAAAATATACTATTTCATGGGATGCAATCTGGGTAAAATAAAAAGCCCAAGGTTGGTTGAAGGTACTTATTTTTGATAATGAGTTTATTGGAAGGAAAACTTTCTTGGAGCCTTGGGTATTCTGCTTGGTTTATCTAAAAAAGGAATTCTCGATCTTGATAGGAGCTATATGGGTGTGGAGCTTTTGAAATCTAGTGGTGAAGGGAGTGAATCCATTCTCAAAGCTCTTTGGCATCACTCAGATGCTATTATGTGCTGCTCCATGAAGGTACCCATTTATATTTTTGCCTCCTGCACCCCCTCCCTTGAATTTAATTCCAGTATATATCAGAGGATAGGAACATTTGTAGCCAAAAGGCTTAAAATTGTTCAAACGTTACTTTTTATTTTGTAATGCAGTGATATTTTTCATTTTCCTTGGCTTCAAAATTTGCTGCAGGCATTGCCTGTTTTCACTTTTGCAAACCAGGCTGGTCTAGACATGCTCGAGACAACCTTGGTTGCACTTCAAGATATAACTCTCGAAAAGATATTCGATGACCATGGAAAAAAAAATCTATGCTCCGAGTTCCCACTAATCATCCAGCAGGTGAGTCATTCCTTTACATACATATTACACTATGTTTGATATTCTGGATTGGACAACAATCATCAAAACTAAAGGAGAAAAAGAAGTTGAAATTTCGACTACTGTCCGGTGTAGTACTGTGCATTACTGCTACAATACATGCATATACATATTACACTATGTTTGATATTCTGGATTGGACAACAATCATCAAAACTAAAGAAGAAAAAGAAGTTGAAATTTCGACTACTGTCCGGTGTAGTACTGTGCATTACTGCTACAATACATGCATTTTAGAAATAAACTGACACAGGCAAAAGGGGCTTCGATAATGTGGCCAGAACTAGAAAACGCCATGTTCTTAATATCAAAATGAAATATTTTTTAATAATACGATGTTATAAATGTTCTTAGATCTCTCCGCCAACCTTAGCTATACATGTGTCAAATGATCTTTATCTGATACTTTAAGGAGAACAACCAGGAGCTAATATGTGATTGTCTTGGCCATGCCTTTTGACAGGGTTTTGCATGTATTCAAGGTGGTATCTGTTTGTCGAGCATGGGAAGGCCAATCTCTTACGAGAGAGCAGTGGCTTGGAAAGTTTTGAATGAAGACAACAATGCTTATTGCATCTGCTTTATGTTCGTGAACTGGTCTTTCGTCTAAATATGTGGTTGAAGGATTAAATGTATCAGACCGTGAAAAATCCCTTTTGATTTACTGATTATGGGACAGTGTCTTGAAGTAGTTGAGTTTGACTCCTTGTTATCATGCAATCTGTTTTCTGTCTTTTCTCATTTGAACTTCTATGCTATACTTTCTTGAAATGCCTATGCAAATTGAAGTAAGTTGTTAAATGTAGCTTGAGAATTGAATTGTTCATTACGTTTTTCTAGTTTTGTTGAGGGTCCATCTAAAAATAACGTACCGTTCTTGACGAGCGAGTCCACAGCCCGTCTAAGCTAGGTTTGCAACTCGACCCACTTTTCGACTGCCTAACTCTTCTACATGTACATGGATGACAGTGTGAGATTGAGTATGACAATGGGAAGCTACTAAAAAAATTATCTTTTGAATTGAATAGTAGCCTTTCCACAATTCAACTACAGAATACATTCAAAATTCTTTTCTTCGACCATGGATAAAGTAAGAGTGATGAATGAAGAATTCATTTCTTGATTCCATTTAATCATCTTGGAGAGCCCACTAATGGGAATATTGATCGATCTTCTTGTTCTTGGTATTTGTTGAAGTTCGTGAACACACACTTTTCATCAATTTGATTCTATAGACAATAAGTATGTCGGAAGAAAGAGATAAAGAGAATCTTACCAAGAGTGTAGTAGAAATTATTAATAATAACTCATCAACAATGTATTCACAGTTCTTAATTATTTATTTTACTTTCAATGGAATAAATGAATTTAGTCTTTGCTTGTTTTGGTGTTACTTATCGTTTTTCCTTGATTTATGTCGAGGTAAGTAATTAATACATGATTTTTCGAAAATTAAAATATGTGAAATATATGGTAATCTTAGAAGAATGTAAAATCTTCTTGTAATGTTACGGAATTGTTTGACAATGGTTTTGATATATGTTTTAACATATTTTCGTATAATTTGATAATGTGTAGTTAAGAAGTTGATATAGTCCCTATTTGATTTGTTAATTTTAACTACACATATTATGATATTCACAACTTTACGGTCATGCTTTTCATCAACTTTTACCCTTGTTTGGGCTCCATTAATAATTTCTCAGAAAAAATATATTTTGGAATAGCGATATTTTGAAGAATGTGTGATTAAAAAATAAGGTAAAGTTTTGAATTCACGTGTAGTATTATTTTATTAAAAAAATGTGTTGGTGAAAATAAAATAGAGAAAGTGCATTTTTCATTAAAAATTTATTGAAATTTTGATTTTAATCTACACTAAGAACTCATTTGGTATGGATTAAAATCCGATTTTAATCTAAATCAAAGTCAAACAATCAATATTAATCACACTTTTTAATGATCTTACAATTTTTAAACCACTTATTTCAAAAATTTCACTCACAAAAACAATACACTACTTTGATCCTCATTATTTTTAAATGCATTTTTCTTTTTCTTCTTTGCAAAAACATATTCTTTTATAAAATAATATTACACATAAATTCAAAATTTTCATGATTTTTTAACCATATTTTGCATAAAGACAATACTATATGTACATGAATTTTTTATTCAATCCTTTACGTACTACTCACAATAGGGGGTGGGGATCACATTTGAGAATTTTTATATTCAAGCGGGGCCGCCGTGCATTGTGAAGGGAGGACAACTTTCGGTACAAATGAAATTGTCCTTTTCGTAAATCTACTATTTCAAAATGCATTTTGGAAAAAAAGGGACTCGTGCAGGCTAATATTCTTAACATCTCATTTTCGCTCCTCAACACTACAAAAGACAATATGATCATCTCTAAGAAACTCTTTAAATATAAAATACTCTTTATTTTAAAGAGTCGGCTCTTAAAATTATGTTATAAGAGAGTCTTTAAATTAACATTTTAAAGGTTGAATGGTGGAGAGCCAAACTTAATTTCTATAATTAAATGGATTCAAAACGTTTCCTATATAGGAAATTAATAAAATGTTCTAGAGAAAAGTTAGTTAAAATAAAATATAAAGAAAAATAATAAATATTTTTTGAGAGTAATAAAATTAAGTGTTAAATATAAAAAGCTTGTTGAAATATTTCAAAATTTTAACTTTCTAAATTTATATATAATCTTTAAATAATAGAATATGCTATTTAAAAATAAAGAGTCTCTTGAAAATATTCTAAGTATAACAATTCCCAAACCTTCTTAGATACCAAAAATGATTCGATTTTGGCATGAAATTGCGAGATATATAACTTTCAATCTATAGAAACTTTCTCACCACAAATTATAATCGATTGAACTTTTTGTATCATGACTTGTTCATTAACTATTTATGACAATATTGCACGAATTAATATCAATTAATTGAAACTCCGATGCCAATAACATCACACAACGTTTATAATGGAAGCTGCCTATTCTTTTTGCCCTCTCAAATAATTATGGAACCTCTTTATGAACTCGTCAGCAGCTTCATCTATATGATTATCCTCATCAGCATTTCTCAATGGAAATGGAGAATCTGTTACCCTCGGCTGCCTAACCATAGGGCTCTTCCCGAACCCTGGCAAAGCCGGTGACGCTGCCGCACTATTAAGCATCTCCAACGTCCTCACCACAGCATTCATAGTGACATAATCCTCCTCCTCCGTACCCGCCGGCGACGGCGAGAACGGAGCACGGTGGTTGTGCTTACGTTTGTTATTGAGGTGGAAGGGGAGATGAAAATTAGGATAAGCCGGACTGTTACTGCAGCTAAATTCGTATTCATTTCTTGGGTATGGAAATGACAGATTTCCAGCGTCGGCGGTGGAGGAGGAGGAGGTGGACCAGTGGTGGCTATGGTGGAACATGAGATTTTGAATGGCTTTCCCTGCAATCTTCCAACGTTTGAACATCATGTTCAGTTCAGCCATTAATTTACCTTTGGATATCCCTTTCTTCAACATGTACAACATCGTACGCGTTACGTTCCACACCTTTTTTGTAATAGCTGGTTGATTTTGCTCCATTTCTGTAAATACTGGGGTTTTAGAGAGAGAAAAGTGTTTGATAAACTGATTTGTAGAGGGAGAGAGAGTTGGGAATTGTTTATGATATTTTTTGAGAGAGAGACGAGAACGTTTTTAATTACATTGGTGGTGGCACTTATATATAGATGTCCGAGGAAAAGGACGACACGGTATTGCACTTCAAATAAAATGACCCGTGGGTGTAAGTTACTTGGTATTTAATATTTGGATCATATTATATACAAACTTCTTTATTCACTGCTCATGATAAGAGTGAGGATCGGAAGTCGATATTTTTTAAATTCACGTGGGGTCCGCTAATTTTGTGAGAACGAGTATAAAATTTTGTACAAATATCTTTATCCATATTTAATTGCTCAATTATTGCACGTCTAGAAATGATTAGACAAGACCAAGGTTACATGATCTTCTGTCACAAATTTGATTATGAGGAAATTACATGTATTACCCATTTTAAAATAAAAATTCATATAATACATTCCAACATTTTTTATCCCATTACTACTGCATTTTACCAAGTAAAAATAAAAAACAATAAACAACTATATATAAATCGATTTTATTGGACAGCTTCCGTTGGTCCACCAAATAAGCCCCAATTTTATTTGTGGAAATTACATAAAACCCTACTCTTAAACATCTTATTTCATAAATCATAGGCTAAGTTTGGTATTTCAAAAATCAGATTTTTTAATTTATAATAATTATAAAATTATATTAATTAAATACATAACCCATCAAACCCTAATCCCTCTTCGTCTCCCCATTGCTTCCCCTTATAACCTCTCTGTCTCTCACCATCAACGGCGCCGCCAAGAGAGTTGAGCCGGCCGAAGAGCACGCGCTTGCAAGCAGAGCTCCTCTTTCTCTCACCATAAACGAACCGTGCCACCAAGAGAGCTCCGTCGACAGAAGAGCACGTCGCCTGCAGCAGGCGTGTAACGGGATGTTGTGTAGCAGTGACGGTAATGGTATTGTGATGCGTGGTAGTAGTGGGAAATGAGAGGTGTGGTGGTGGTATGGTTGCGATGGTTGGGAGAGTGGTGTGGTTGCGGTGATGTACCGTAATGGTTTCTTCTTGCCTATTTTCTGTGAATGAGTATTTTGGGGTGATGGTGGTTGAAAATGGTGAAGGTGGTTATGGCAGTGATTGTGGAGACGGTGATGACGGCAGTAAGGTGATGGCGTTTCAGATCTAATTTGTTGATGTAAATCTGGTCGCGATCTGCAGTAGATGCGTTCAATGCCGGCGTTTCTCCATGGGTGCTACAAATCTGCTTTTTGTGCAGTGAGTGGTTGGTTTGATGTTGTGGTTGAGTGCGGTGACCGGTGGCTGGGTGTGCGGTGTTGTGTGATGGTTGATCTGGTGGGTGCGTAGGTAGCAGTGGTGTTGGAATGGTGGCTGACGGTGGGGGGTCGTGGCAGTGGTGATGATGAGATTGTGGTGGTTGTAGGTCGTGGTGGCAACGGCAGCAAAGTGGAGGTGTTGTTAGCGTTCAGAGAATTGATGATGATGTTGGTGGTGGCCGTGGTTGCAGGTCATGGTGGTCGTGGCAGTGGTGATGATGTTGGTGGTGCTGGCTACCGCAGCCAGCGATGTTGGCTGTGCTGATAATTGTGATTGTGACTGTGACTCCCAATTGTGACTTGACATTGAATATGTGACCGTGACTCTCAATTGATTAAATTGTGACCGAAAAATTAATCGTGACCGAAAAATTCAATAATTTACTATGAGTAAATGAATAGTGACAATAAAATTTTTAATTTCGTGACCATTGAATAATCAGTGGCCTATAAAATTTCTAGATACAGTGGTGTGGTGGGCTATTGCAAGAAGTGGTTAGGCGGTGGTCACATGTGTTGTAACCAATTAATAAGTTGAATGGGGCCAATAATTGGTTAATTTGTAATAAATAAATATTACATGACCTAAAAATTGTGTTTGTAACTTATAATTTATTGAGTTGTGACCGAAAAATTAATCTGTGACCTATAAAATTTTTGATTCGCAATCGAAAAATAATATGTGACCTATAAAATTTGTGTTTGTAACTTATAATTTATTGAGTTGTGACTGAAAAATTAATCCGTGACCTATAAAATTTTGTTTGTAATCGAAAAATAATATGTGACCTATAAAATTTGTGTTTGTGACTTATAATTTATTGAGTTGTGATCGAAAAATTAATCCGTGACCTATAAAATTTTTGATTCGTAATCGAAAAATAATATGTGACCTATAAAATTTGTGTTTGTGACTTATAATTTATTGAGTTGTGATCAAAAAAATTATTACTGCATTTTACCAAGTAAAAACCAAAAACAATAAATAACTATATATAAATTGATTTTATTGGACAGCTTCCATTACTCCACCAAATAAGCCCCAATTTTACTTTGTCACGATCCCAAAATTGTAGTCTTTATCAAAGAAAACCCTCAATTTCATAAAACCATATTCGAATAAAATCAAAATCCCAAATCTCCTAATTCAGAAAATCACAAATCACCCCACGGACGAATCACCTTCAAACCTCATTCTACAATACATAAGAACACAAAAACGTTTACATCATCCATATACATTCAATGATTTATCATTTTTCTGCAATACATAGAAACATGTTATTGTTGGCATAATATATATATTCAATGACTCACCATTTTTCTAACTGTGTGCGATAGCAAAATCAGGAATTTTATATATAATCTCATATGAAATTTGAAATTCACATATCATATTTGTTGAACACATAGACATTACAAAATCAACGTTGCAGTAATATTGAATTGGTGTAACACAACTCAAAACCTAAGTCAGAAACTGGAAAGATGTGTCCCCAGGGCACATCTCCAAGTGGAAAAGAGGAGGGTGGAGAAATTCAACTTTGCTTGAGGCTGCTGCGTCAAGAGTTCGAATCCTGAAATATGGATTTGGCTCTTGCGTAAGTGCAAGTGTACAAGCAACCTTCCACCCTGTACCCTTGGAGGCATAACCTGCGATTTACCTCTCTCACGATGCTCCAGGACAGGGGTGGTAGAGGACCCTTAAGGTTAGAGTTTAACCTTTCAGAAATTGGAAAGATGTAAGTCCTAATTTTTTTCCTATATTTGACATTACATAGCCATACAGAGGGACTACGTAATTGAATTGTGTGCGTTTATCCTATTCAGCTTTTTATATTTTGTATTGAGTTTGGAAAGAGATTAAATGAAAGGTTTAATCTTAGAAAAATTAGAAAAAAAAACTCAGTTACGTGATAGTGTTTAGATTCTAAATTTGGAATATAGTATTTCTTAAAATATTTAATCATCTGCACAGTATTTTATGAATTATTAAAGTAACATAGTATAATTTGATATTTTATTTTGTAATGATATAAGAATTTTTCCGATTAATTATTAATCAAGCCCAAGTTTATATGTTGTTCTGTCGCAAATTTAATTTATATTAATTAATCACTAAATTAATTGCATATTTTTGTGATTTAATCATAGTAAATATATATATTTACTGTATATAGATTGAATTATCATTTCCCTTGACATTTTGTTCTAATTGAAACTATATACACGAGGTGTGACAATGGACCGAGTAGGTTCGACTCGGCTCTTAGACATTCAAGCTCGATTCACTCAAATCCCTCGTATGGATACGAGCTAACTCTTTTTTTTTTTTTTTAAATTTTTTAAGAAAATAATAAAATAAGTTAATAAGAGTTAAAAATGAGCTGACTCATGAGCTCAAGGCAAGCTGAGTCCGCTTGACTTGTTTGAAAAATCAAGCTTAGCTCAACCCACGACTCGTCTTATATAAGCTTGAAAAATTCATGGTTCGAACCGGGACGAGTTGAGCACATGAGCTGGTGAGCAGCTCAATTCATTTGTCACTCTAATATCCTTGTGTCTTGAACTCGGAATTCCTGATTCTTAAACAATAATAACTATAGTAACTTCGAAGTAAACACACGATCTTTAGAATTAAGGCTCGTTTTTATTGATGTTCAAAATCTCGTTTATATAAAGTAAATAATTGGCTTGATTGAATATTTTTCAACTATAAATAACGTTTTTCTCTTTTTGACGTATTTGAAAAGTTACTTTCTTTAAACTTTTTCTAGTTGAAAATCGTGATTAAATTGACATGCAATGTATTAGAAGTACCAAATTAGGTTTTCAAAACACTTATTTATTTGTAGTGCAGGTTGGTGGAGAGAGCTTTTGATTTTCAATGTTCAATTCAAGAACAACGTGAAATTTCAAACGTTTTGTTAACTAAATTTACTAAATCCAATCATACTGCACATCCAGGCTCAAATTCATACCCAAATTCAGATGAGACGCGTGTCGACACGTGATGAGACAATTTAAAAAATTAAAACAAAAACATCAAATTATTTTCAGACACACCAATGCATCTCTTTATTCCCCTATTTTTAACTCTGGACAAGTAGCTTTATTCTGCTAAATCCGAGTTGATACGCTAATTTCCACATTTAAAATAAAAATTATATTAAGTTATTTAAAAATAAAAATGTCGTGTATTAGGGTTTAGAGGTTAGAATGAGTGGAAAAATGATTGTGGGGCTCATTTTCTCACCACCAATAAATATCAATGTATGTTATACGTTACTTTCATTTCCCTGCCGTGTACCAACGAAATTATTTACATTTCCTTTACTTAGCAAGGGAGGTTTCCTTTGCACGTGTCACTTTGTGCCAAATAAAAAATAAAACAAAAATCTTATATTAAGCTTTTCCCGAAATTGCATTTGAATTAGTCCTAAAGGGGTTGTAATAACGAATACCGTGTTCTGACCTTTTCCGACATTACAAGTTTACAACTCTTCTTTGGGGATTCCAATTGCAAAATTTAAACAAAACAAAAGCAGTCAAAAGCGTTCTTTTTCTACCAAATATGACTTATTTAAATTTTCTCAATTTTTGTTTTTGTTTTTTTTTTAAATGCTTGAAAG